CATTTTTTTAATGAACTGGAAAGGTATCCTCGTGATATTACACAGTTTTCGGGATAGCTAACTCATTGAATGAACTTCAGTTGGTGATTAATGTTGCTTGTCTGGACCAATATTATTTAATTTTATTTTTGATGGACTAAAACTATGGTAGTCTCCTTATGTCTACTAAAAATAAGTATCAAAATGCTTTGTTGTCTTCTTTCTTAGAGCAGGTTTGGGAATCAAGATTAATATTTATTTCTCTAAGTGTGTTTGAACTATGGATTAGAATTGTAGATCTTGGATTATTTATAATGCATATTTTGAACTTGAGCTTTATATATGTGTAACATAGCTACTGAAATTGTTTCAGAGCTATGACAATTGCCTTATCTGTGTGTCTGCTGTATGCCTGAGGAACCTGCACTCCGTGGTGCTGCAGACCACTCTCTCCAGTGGTGCATTTCTGCCCTATGCTGATTTCACCCTTTAAAGTGGGGGAACTGTTGCTGGATCAAAACCTGTAATGGATAACTCTACGCAGCATTAAATTTGCTGGGAATGTTACCTTTGCTGTCTGCGAGATCAAGATTTGGCCATCATATTGAGGTTCTATGGGGTTTAATGAAAAGCCTCTTGGAGGAGATACTTTCTGCTGGCAAGGATCACTCAGTGAAAATTTCAGAAACTGTTATTAAAAATGTAGTAGGTTGACATTCTGCGAGTTGCTTGTAGTTTGTTGCTAAGACTGTAAAGAGCACTTAGCAGTAACTTATGCTGAAGTCTCAGAGGCTTAGAGATTACTAATTTGGTGAGATCCACTTGGAGTCAAGCCCTAAATTGAGAGTTTTGTCAGAATAATACTTGTCAGTAAATTAATACATTTGCTGCATCATAGGATCTTGGGGTCTTGTAGAAACACTAGCTAACTCTCTTGTTCCTTGTGGGGTAGTGATTTATGGTCATCAGAGGCATGGGATGCCAGAGCAGAGTTGGCGTTAGGATGGAAATAGTCTTGGCCGCTGACTGCGCAGTCCGCCTGAACATGCTGCTGTGTCTGTACTGCTTAGCTGAACCGTTTGTACCTCATGTGGGCCATATCTGTCATCTTCTAGAATTGAGCTGCAGCTCCCATGCTCCCTGATCTGATGTTGTTTTCTGCTGCAGATCTTAGAATGGCTGGGGAGATTCTTACCACACAGTTTTTGAGCAATAAGAACAGAGAATGAGAAGGGTGGATGAAGGCTTCACAAATGGGCCTCACGGAAAGTGGACTGCGTGGTTTTAGCCTTCTCTCTTACTGCTGTTGACATCTGTCAGACCTTTCTCTACAAACCAAGTTTTCATGTCTTGGGGGCTAGTTATAAATGCAGCAGCGCCAAAGAACAGGAAAGTGAGAGATGGTGCCTCAGGCTGACCTGGGAGTAGATGTCAGGCCTCTGACATAAGAGTCAAGTCTCTTCCATTTCATTACATACTTATTTTTTCAGAATGAATGTGGCAGATCAGACATCAGTGACGCTCATCAGCTTTGCTCAGTAGACCTTGGTAACCCCTTAAAAGCTACATGAAAAGTGTAGAGGGATCGTGACTGATGCTGCTGCTTCAGATGATGCTTTTTGGTGGAGCCTAGTTCAGTCAAATAGGAGCACTGTTGCTTTGCTTTGTAAGCACCCGACTGCTGCCGGCTCTCAGGGCAGGAATAGAAACCAAGACTGGCGATGCTCAGCATTGCAACGCAAACATGTGCTTGACCAAATGGCAGCGGGTATGTTCTCTTCTATGGGCTGGCTAGCCCAGGGAACCACATGCGTTTGTCCCACCACCAGCAATGCACCTTGTGTCACAGCTGTTCTCGTGGATGGGCCGTTTTATGCATTTGAAATCTGTGGATTCAGCCTCCCTACCTTTTTGGGGATAACAATGCCTGTGTAAGAGAAATGTCTCAGTGGTTTTAGATTGCAAAACATTGGGTTTAGAAGCTATTTGAATGCTGGCTGGTTTTGTCTGTGTTTCTGTATGTTTATGAAAATATTTATATTTGGTAGTGGAAGTTGTCCTTTGAAGAACAGAAGCTGTTCAGTCAGTTACACTTTCCAGAAAATAAGCCTCAGATGTGAAAGTATAAACCTTGCATATATAAAGGATGAGCAGTGTTGTGGCTTTGCCAATGCATCTTCCACCTCTGGGTTGCCAGATGAATGCTGCCTAGCTCCTGTCTGAGAAGCTGGCGTGTCTCAGTGCTAGGTCCCCTGTGAAAAATTACACATGGGCTTTGTGTGAGATTGGAAACTCTTGGGTTCGGGGACATTCACATGCAGTTGTTTTTTTTTTTTTTCACTGTGACTGAACAGAACAGGAGAGTGTTGGCTCTATTAAGAGCTCTTGTGTCAAGGTGCAAAAACACTTCGCTGTTTGAACTCCCACAAGCTGGCAACATTAGTTGTTATTTTCAACCAGTGCATGTGCCATCAGAAAAGGAAATTTGGAAGATGGATCAAATAGTGTCTTTTGGCCTTTAACTGTTGGGGAGTCTGCCTGATTCAGACTTGAGAGTTGGTGTTGTGAAAGAGGTTTTATTGCAGGCACCATGTGAAGAAACACTAAACGTTGCAGCTACTGGGAACGGAGCTGGAAGAGGGAATGTGCTAAATGAACTGCAGAGATGTGACTGGTATGCTAGTGCATTGCGGGGTTTCCCCTGAAGTGTAGCATCAATGTCTGACAGTGAGGTGGAGGATGGAGCACTGCAGCTCAGCATTTGCATCTTCCATGGGAGCTGTTCAGTGTAGCAATTCACTTTGCTCAGATGCCACCTCTTGGCTAACGTAGGCTGGTGAAAATAATAAAAATAGAAGTGATCCATAACAGAGAGTACAAATCCTAATGTTTAATCATACAAGAACTTAAATAATTTATCACCAGAAATGTAAAACCTAAACCAACAGATTATGATGGATTTGCAGAAGATGTCATCTGTTTAATGCTTATCTTTTATCTTTAATACTTTGCAAACTAGCTTTGAAATGGTTTTTGCAAGGCATTTAGTTAACTTGTGAGAGACTGCTAAACAGGATAACTGCACTTAATGCAATACTGGCATGGGAGTTTACTAAAGGGGATGTTGACATAAATATTAAAAATAACTATTTCCTATTATTCTAATAAAAATAAACAAAATATCCCTCACTTTGTATTAAAAGTTCAAATGTTTTCTAATTTTAGGGAGTTACTTTTTTTGGTGTGACCATGTAGTCCAAAGGAAGTTCATTATCTTTGTCATCCATGTCATATTTTGGTGTGGCAACTGAGCTTTTGAGCAGGAGTTTATTTTTCTTGGTTACAGTCGTATCAGGTAGCCTCAGGATGTGGGTGTGCCGAGAGACATACCTCTCCGTTTCCTCTGATCCTGCCCTTGGCTTGGAGCTTTCCCATCCCCCACAAATGATAACCATGATCTCCTGCCCCTAACTCGGTGAGCATGCATCCCACCTCTGCAAGCTTCCCGCAGGTGGATACGCTCGCTCGTGCTTTCCCCTATGCGTGCCTGCCCGCAGCCATGCTGCTTGACTTCCCCCCCGCCAAATTTTAGCATAGGACAGTATGCCAAATGTCAGGGTATAAAACTTCGTGTGCAACATAGCTCTGCAAAGGAGGAAAAGGAATTGTCTCTTGACTCTGCTTGTTAGCTAAAAGAGAAAGAGTGGGATGTGAGTGGATGTGCTGACCTCTGCATGAGGATGTGATTTGGCTCTGGGATCTTAGGAGGGACCAGATGAGCTAAATGAGAAAATAAAACTGATACGGAGTGGTGCCTGTGGCCCTTCCCAGGAGTCATGGGATATCAGTAATCTATTTTCCTTGGACAGAGAGATCTTTGAGGGAAGTGGTGTGCAAAATAACTCTTATTCTGTGTTTGCTTGTTATGTTAGGTGCTAGGTTATTGAGTTAAGGAAGTACCACAAAGATGTATTTAGATTAATACGGTTTTTCTGAAACTGCAGAACTTTTTGGGCTTGAACAAGAGTTTGGGAACTGGTTTAGCTTTTATAAGTGTGTAGAAAGAAGAGATGTGTTAAAAAAACCCCCGTCTTCTTGAATTATTTAAACTGACTGTGTATATTCCATGTAATTATTTAAAAAATATTTTTGAACGCTTCAGATTTTTTCAATCTCTTTGCTTACTTGCTGCTACTTTGGTCCCCTCAACTTCTTTATTGCATTTAACTTTATTTCCATGATTCATCTAAATGAAAACTGTATTGGCCATAAGATATATCCATAAGAGGTATTATCTATAAAAGATATATTTATCCATATGTATGTTATATATACATATTTTATACATGTTGGACTTGGTAAAATATTTTGAACAAATTTTTTGTTCAAAGCAAAACCTTAATATGACCTCTATGCTTTGTGCTAAGAAACACAACTGACAAAGAAGTAGTGACCCAGTTTTTCTAGGTAATTCTTGTTACCTTAAGAAGATGGAGAAAATAGTATTTGAAAACTGATGTAATGATTTTTTTTTTTAATTTATTCACAGTGATTCTTTTTGGTTGGGGGAAGGGAAAACTGCAGTTGTACTGTATTGTAAAGCTTTTTTTACATGCTATATTTATCATACAGTTATTAAATGCAGCATATGCACCTTGCCAAGAATTGTCTCAAATGTCCCCTCCTGCACAAAATTTTAGTGTGCTGGAAGCTGTCTAATGTGTTAACAGGAAAAATATTTGTACTGGTTTCTCACAGAGGCTATAGTGTGTGCCAGTAGTGGATAATTTAAATTAATGTCTGTGTATGGTATGCTGCTGTGTTGTGTGGGAGAAGCCAAGTTATTTTCTGAGCCTTGTGTGACAAAGGTGGGAGGCCTGTGGTAGTGGCAAGTTGAAGGACTGCATATGGAAAGAAACTAATAAATCAAAAGGGCTGAAGGGGAGAGAGAAGGATATGTAAGAGGAATATATAAGAAGTAGGAGGAAACAATCAAAAGAAACAAATATGAACTAGAGAGAATGGTCGTGAAAAGTTGGGAAGCTGGACTGAAGGGGGTGTCAGCAAGCAAGACACTTGGGGATTTTGAAAGAGGACAGGAAAAATCGTTTAAGATTTATCCCAAGGTAAGTACAGAAAACCAGTACAGTCTTGGATATGCTGTGTTACTCTTTAATGATAACGGCATTATCATTTAATGGTGGCGTGCTGGTCTCTGTTATAATGTACTGCCTTAGGACTGTGAGGCCCAGGAGGTTATTTATCAGGCTGCAGCACTGCACATCAGCATGCGTTAGTACAGTATGTTGGTACAATTTGTGCAGTGGTGAGATAGAAGATCTTCGATTTCTCACCCGCATCCCTTTCCTCCTCTCCTTTGAAGGTCAAAAGAGTTTATTAAATTGTGGGTGTAAAGGCTAAATCACAGGTGTGAAGAAGGAAATACAGAGGGTACAGAGGGAAAGGGCTGCAAGGTGAGAGGCAAGGCAGCTGCTGGTGGGCAAGTGGTGAGGGGGAAGACCCTGGAGGGAGGGAGCGTGGTGGTGCATCCATTGTGGTTGTGCCAGTGGGGACACAGCAGCTCCTGGCCCTGGCATAGCTGAGCCTGGGCTTGACTGGCGCGGGCACTGGGGAGAAGGGTTAACTGGGAGCAGCAGCTACCAGGCTGGTGAGAGGCATGGGCAGGAAGAATTTTCAGAACATGATAAAACAGAGGCAGGGAGGGAAAGAGACTGTTTTCTGCTGAAGTGATGTTTGCTCCCTGACCAGCAGCTCACCCAGATGGAATAGGACAAGTATCTGTGGCTGCAGAGGAAACCTGCTGGAGTGTGCTTCCCTCCGTACACCTGCCGTGTGCTGGGGAGAGGAGAGCTCGCATCCAGACATGAAGGGGTCATTGCCTGTCACAGGCAGGGAATCCTGGCTCATGCCCTGCATTGCATGGGTATCTCTGAATACAGAGGAAGATGGATTGTTTTATTAGGTCACTGACAGTTTTATCTTCTTTAAGTTTTACTTCATATAGAGGTGTCAGTTTTTGAACTCGTTCCCCCCAGTATTAAAATTGTGTTTGTAGTTCTTTAAAAACCAAACAAAAAACCCCATCAAAACCCATTGACTTTTATTCTTGTTTCTGTTGCTCCAAAACATCATTGTGGTACTTCCATATTATTCCATAATACTCCATAGCAATGTTTTGTACTACCTTACACCATGTTATTTCAGTATTTCAAAAATTGTATTTCACAGAGAAGTAGGAATTGATGTGTACTTTGTCAAATCGGCTATTAATTTTTTTCCCTGCACTTTCCAGTTTACTTGGCATCACCTGGATCTACCTTTTCTTTCCTCTTATTTTACTTTGACAAGCCAAGTTTAAGACTTCAGGTATTGTGAAATACCAGCTGTTTGCTAAGACTTGTGATACGTAAAATGCAATCTGAACTGACATCTCTGTACTAAGGTTTTGAATGTTTATATTTAGGAGAAAGATGTTCCCTTAAAGCTCAGTGAATGCTATTGGCTCCAGTTGAACGCATTGTCAAGTGAGAACATAGCTTTTAGAAAAATATCAGTCATTGAGCCTTTCTTTCATCCTATATTAAATAACAATAGTGAATGTCTTGGTAACATAAACACTGAAGGACTATCAACAGGATATTTGATTCTTTATATATTCAGAACGTGAAACCTTAGTCACAAATAGTGTAGTACAGTGGTATCATAGCAATTTGTATAAAAGCCACTCGTGCTATTTAAAACACTCTCGCAGACCTACAGGTATGAACTGATGTAATTGGGAAAATAAAGTTCAGCTGTCTTTGTATTACATTCCAAAATATTTTGGGCCTGTAAATTGCCTTTACAGAATTTTATTTTATAATTGGTTAGTAGGCATTAATTTAATCTGTCATTACCTATTTTTCACTAGTTTTATCCCTCTAAAAATCTCTTGAAAGTTATTTTAAATGATATAGAGAATATGGTATGATTGCCTCGCAGAAGCAAACAAAATGTATATTTGACGATGTTGTTATAATCAAATGTTTTCTGAAAAAAACAAAACATAAAGCATTTCTTTTTTTAGAGCATTTTTTAAACTGGTGAAACTTAGCAGGACAAGATGATTTGTATTTCCAAAATCCTTAGATATGTCCTTTAATCCTGACACCATCAAATTTACCTATTTGTTTCTGTGTTGTGTAATGGTATATACTGTATAATCTATACTTAGGATACTTTGTACCATTGCTTGTTCCTACATTCGCATTGTTTCTACAAGGAAAGAAGCCTTATAGTCCACTAAAGCAGAATGATTAGAGCTTGGCCCTTGAAAATTTTGACTGTCAAAGTAGCGTCACTTCACTGTTATGTAGGAATTTGATGCTAAAAAAAATTAATGCATTGTTTTGTCTGCCCACACTCTAATAGTGTAATAATGACAGCACCATCACAGCCTCTGTAATTCCTTGTGCTTTGCTTGCATGTTGGCAGGCAAGATTTAAATTATACTTAGATATTTCAGTGATTGACTTCAAATTCCCACCAACTACTACCCCATGTAGCACTGATGCCTTGTATCAACTGATAAAAGGCCGTGAGGGCCATGCTATTTTTCCCTCTGAATTCCTCAGGATCTATGAGTAAATATGTCTGATTCCAGTGCAGAGATGGTTAAAAGTAGATGGAGGACCACACCTTCACTGCAGTAACATGCCTGTCAGATTTTAGGTGTCTCTGGATGGAGGTATGGTGATGATATAGTCCTACGATGTGAACTGTGACTCAGGGTAAACACCCATTAATCCTACTTACCTCTGTAGGATTTAGATCAAGCTTTGAATTTCTTTTGTCTGGAGAATAAGTGAAAGTAGGAAACACCAGAGAGAATGTTCAAACTATTGCTATTGCCTGTAGCTTCTTTTACTCTCAAAAGAGGAAGACTGAGTCTCCCTGAAGTGCCCTTGCAGGATGCTGCCTTTGGGCTCATGGTCAGTTGGTGTCTGGTTGGTTGAAAGGGGATTTCTGCCAAGCTTTAAAAACCTAGCTTGTATTTAGGCAGATATTTTGAAAATCTCTTCATGCTACTTTATGGATCAAGTTTTGCATTTCAGAGCAGTACCGGTTTTGCTAAATTGCACCAAGTTGCGTGAGGAAATACTTAAGTTTCACTTTCTCTTAGTGGATTACCCTCCATGCGTGTGCACAAAGTGACGCAGGATTTCAGGTTGTGTCAAATACTTCTCTGAATTGGCAATTGCTTTTTTTTAAATATTGTTGAAAATTCCTGCTGAGCTTTGATTTCACACCTTCCTTTTCTCTTATTTTTTTGTGGATCTTGCTTAGGTTTTGGGATGCTTGATACAAAGTAATAGTTTTTGGGCCTTACCCAGAGGGCTCGTTTGGGCTGTGAGTGTGTCCTCTTAGGGCTGTTTGGCTCTAGTGAATTCCTAGAGCATTTTCAAAAGTGGAGAATATGTTAAAACCTTAAGCGGTCTTTAACAGGTGTGTAAATGTACTGATGTTTTATGGGAGCCCTAAATGGGGTTCACTTGAGATGTTTTGTTTTGAGTTCTGCCTGTTCCCATTATGTCCTGATCTTCTTTTTATCCATCACGAAGAGGGCAGTGTGAATTGACCCACTGCTTTGCCTTGATGTGAATCACTACAAGTAGTCATGAGAAAGTTATTCAGGGTCTGTGTTCATTTAGTTAGCAGTTGTGGCTGGCAGCACTGAAAATGGTGATGCATCTTCTCTGTGGATTGTGCTGAGGCCACTGATATCACTGTAAAGTATGCTGAACAGATGGCAATCTTTGTAAAAACTGAGGTTTAACTCCACATTTGTTGTTCTCAGTGAAGCCTTTAAGTGATATTGTTGGTTAGAAGGACTGTGCCTTAGAAAATGCTTGTAGCTATTGTCTCTGTGCTGTTGCAGGTTTTATGAAGTGTTATGGAAATGACTCCAGTAATCCTATTGGAATGCCTCTATAGTTGTATCGGAGTCCTATAGACTTCCCTTCTTGTGGAAGACCCTGGTAAATTGATTAGATGAGATGAAAGCCTTTGCTGACTGGGACCCGTGTGATTTGCATGAGAATACAGACATGGTGATGGGAGAGGATGTGGATGTAGGAATGGCTGAACCATGCTGGGAACAGGGGGCTGCTCTTCATAAGACACTCCTGAGCAGCAGACTGGAATGTGTTTCAGATTTGTGTGTCTTCCCAGCTATGATTGCTCAGATTCATGGATCCCTGGGGAATCTGCTTAATTTAAATTATCTGCATTCTCTTTTCTGAGAATTTAGGTTTTTGTAGCTTGTATACCCCATAGCACATCATGTTATTTCAAGAGCACAAAGCTATAGCAATAATAAATGTAATGTGAATTTTTTTCTAGTGTTAAAAATACCTATTATGAAATGAAAAACATCTCTTGCAGTTGTGTGTGGAGTTCCCAGTTACAATGACAAGTAATCCCAGAGATTGGTTGGTTTTTTTTTGTTTTTTTTTTTTTAAGAAATTGTAAGTTGTTTGCCATGGCTGGTGGGAGGAACGTAAGAAAACAACTGCTAATTAAAAAATTCCTGAAACAAGAGGGAGTGTATTTAGTAATGTTTTCTCTTAGCACACCTTGCTAGGAATAGGCCTGAGGAGCAGATCCTTCTTCTATCAGTATTATAACAGTTGCTGTGAATTCATGTGGCCTCTGATTAGCAGGGAAGAAAGGCTGAGATGTGCTCCTTTGGGACAGAACTGGTGTTTTATGGGGTTTCTCTCTGTAGGTCTCCTGATGGTGGTTGTCATATTAATTAAGGACTTGGTCTTTCTGGCTTAGAACTCATTGCCATTTCTATGCTATGGGAAGGCAGATGTGGGGAATGGTTCTCTAAGTCTTAAAAACGGTTTTCAAAATTTGTGGTTCAACATGCAGGACCACAAATATATTTTGCTAAAAGGTTTATGTTTGGAAATAAGACTCCTAAGTGATGTATCTTTTTCATTCCAGTGAGGAACAGTGATTTCTTCCAACGTTGTTTGTAAAATTTGTGGTGGAGCAGGAAAATTAGTCCTCAAAATGTTTTGCAGGAATGCCATTCTTGAGAGATGTTCTTTAAACTATT